ACACCTTCTGGTAGATGGAACCACCGAAGTTCTTGCCATTGTCCCTGGAGATGAGAAGTTCAAATTATTCACCTACCTGTTTCATTCAATCCTTAGCCCCAGATTGCTTATATGCTGTAAATAGGGTTGAATTTTGTCAAAACCATTTCTTCTGTGTCTATAAGTCTCCAGATGATAGGACTTGGATTGTGTGTGACATTTAACTGTCATATCAATAGAAACTTATTTTCATGCTCATGTAGCAACAATTACTATATGTAGTTAGAAAAACTAGACATACTATTTAAGATAAGCAGATAATATTATGTTAATCAGATGTCTTTGTAGAATTCATGAAACAATGAAGAGTGTTACTGTTTATAACTATGTCTAGATATTATTATATTATATATGGTTATTAGTTATTTATCTTCAAGGTTAAGTTTTATAATCGTCCCACTTCATTATTATTGTAATATCAGATAGGAACATATACTGAAAATATTGTATTGTTGCATATAGTTATGTCTATTGTCTTTACAAACACTATAATAATTTATATTAAATTTGAATGTTATTTTGCAAGTTTTTGTCTAATTTCTCAAGGTTGTATATTGTAATATTTTATATCCACACAAAATAAAAACAAGTAATGAATAACAATTTATTATTGCTATTGCTGGAATCATCTTTTATTTAATGTATTTTTATATTAATATTTAAAGAAGTAAATTTGTTTTGTCTTAGATTAACTAAAAAACCATGTTCACAAATTTTATCTACCCCATTGGAGAACTAATCAAAAATGGCAGTCGAAATTAGACCTAACTTGTATTAGCTACAATGAATGTCAAGATGTCAGTTCAATTTACTTCCAGTCAAAGTGCCCAACCACACTAGTGTTACATAATGAAATAATATGTCATTGTTTTGCATGACCTACTTTGATATTTAAAACTTAGATTATCTTTCACCTGCAACTGATTGCTGTTTAAATATCAATATTATTTCTTATTGTACCAAGTTTGTTTTGACTAGTGATACTTTACACTAGTCAAAACAAATGGAAAAGTTTTTCATATTATATGAAGAATGAAAAAAATTATTTGGTCACTGATTAATCATAAATCAGTTTTTTTTCTGCCATTGCACTTTCGATTAGGTCCTTAGTAATATTTAAAGCAACTGAATTAAAAATTCTATTATATAAGCAAAAACAGTTTGAGATTAATTGAGTTTAGCCATTTTAACTTCTTAAGGAGAAATAGAAAATTTTTACTTACACATTGGTGTGCAGGGCAAAGTCATTAGTCTGGTATCCAAAGGCAAAGTTGTTCTTGCTAAACTTGCCCTTCTGTGTGTCAAACTGGGTGTTAGCACCAGCCAGCCAGCCTTGGTATTTGAGGACAGCTGCTACATCCACAATCGGACCGGCCATGTCCAGGTCAAGGTTGGTGTTAACAGCCACAGTCTCATTGGCAAAGGATGTCTTCAGTTTACCTGTCTTGCTCCTGTGGAAGTTTCACATATAAGTTCTAAGCAATATTATATAGAATTCACTATATGCCATATTTATAGTTGTTAACCAATTGCTAAGCAAGTCCTTAATGTTTTTATATGAAATAAAGGATTACTTAAGAAATTATTAAAACTGTACTTTTATTAGATATTTTACCCAGTCTGTGGTGCGAAAGTACCCTCAAGGGTGACTTTGAGGCCGGCGGCAATTTTGTCTTGAATGGTGATATCGGTGGCAAGGGTGTTGTCTGTGTTCCATTTTTCTGTGAATGTTAGACCATAGTCCTTCACTGCATATTTGGATGAAAGGCTACCAAATACCTGTAACAATATTCAATGCTATTATAGAACAAAAATTAAAGTAAAATATGATATTGCATAGTAACTTTTTTACTCTTAATGTTTTTACTGATTCATTTAGTAGAAAACATTACTCATGCAGATTTGTGAACATTTTCAGAAACATAAGATCATTGAAAATGGAAATTTAAATAATTTATCAAAGTAAATGCAAGAAAGATAATTGCCATACCTTGCCACTCTCCTGGTTGGAGGTGATGCCACTACTGAATTCAACACCGGATTCACTCTTTGTCTTCAGGTCAAGTTTGAACACACCAAAGTGGTAGCCTTTGCTGAAGACATCATTGGCCTTCTTGCCCAGATCTGCATAGTATGGGGGTGCCATTTCCTGCGAAAAACAAAAAGTTTAATATCTCATACAGTTAAATATACAACAGTCATCGAGTTTCAACCATTTATTTTTTCAATTTAATTAGGCAATTTCGTAACAACATTGTATAGCAAGAGAAAAGATTAAATACTGTTTTTTATCGAAAGTTGAAATAGAGGGATATATCATTTGTCTACTTATTATAATAAGATGTTTGAATTTTTAAAAAACCTTATCGTAAATTTGCGAACTGAGCCAGTTGTGTCAGGGTCGACTTGGCAAATTTATGTCACTCAATAACGGTATTACATAACATGCAGGTATAACGGGACCCATCACATAAAATCATTGTGATTAAAACTAAATCCCATTATCACGTACATTAAAATAAGATTCGTTTGTACGCCGTGACCGTAAACTTGACCTATCGCCAAAAGATTTTACATTGTCAGCAAGATTTTTATAGATGTATAGTGGTTGGCCATCGGTTTTTTTAAGAAATAGGAAGCCTTAATAAAATCTCCCAATTACAACATTTTTTATAATTTTAAATGAAATAAGGAAAATTAAGTTGATTTATTCAAAAATTATATAGAAATTCAATAATCACGTGTATGACGTCAATAGTCCCCGGCTTTATAACGGTACCGATAATATGAATAGTAAATCTATCTTTGTAACAAAAAGAATAATTTTGAAATAATTGTAGTAGCTATTTACTTACTGTGTGTTAGGTGATTTCACTTACTGAAACTAGATATACTGAATTCTGCGAATTCCTAGGAATAACTTCACCTCCTGTACAACACCACAAGACAATTCTAGTTTGAGAATAAACTAGCCAGGGGGCGTTTTTTCCGGAAAAGGGGTTATTGACGTTTTAAGAATTCTTAACATTCAATTATTATAATAAACCTATTTAAAGTAACCCATAGCAAAATGGTTGTTTTGAACGTAGTCCTAATTTTTTAATTAATAACAAAATGGTTACCTAAATGAAATAATTTAACTATATTTAAAAGATGCAAATTTGACTATGCTCATGACAACTTTCTTTCTACGTAACGTGTGTAAAGACAATTTCATTCTTTTTTACAAATACACGAACAAAACTACATTGTTAAAAACATTATTTTTATTTTGAATCATTATTATATTATTTAATAACAAAATATTACTGCAAATTCTTTAGTGTTTAATCACTTACCCTTTACATATTTATTTTGGTATCTATTGTACTAAGTCAGCGCGCGAACTTCAAAAAGAAGAATTAAACATTTCGACAAACAAGTGTACTCGGGCCCAAGACTTGTTATTGTTATTAAATCTTAAGAAATTAACTATTGCTATATTATAAAATTAAGGGTTAAACTTAAAAATGTTTTATTTTCACACATACATTTCCTGGGAAGCTGAAATCTTCATTATCACCTCCATCACCATTGATAGGGCAATCAATTCTCTCGCCATATTCGTTTTTGCATATAATTTTTTCTCCCAGAGTACCATCCTATACATAGTCAAATGATAACTTATTTATTTATATATTGTTAAAGATAATAATATACTACTTTCGCTTTCTATCAGTATATTTTTTATTTATTTAGTAACATGTAGCTAGTCCAACCCACGACCACGATAAAAGCAATAACTATGTCAAGGCACTAGGCGCGGTCGTAAAATATTTACAACAAGCTTTACTACAGATTTCGTATGAAAAATCTACACCAAATGTTAATGAAATCTAATGATTAGGAGACTGCTTTATCAACCATTAAACTACTCTCAGTTTGGCAGTTTAATTTTAAGCATTAGTATCACATTAAGAAACTAATCAAATTTTCTTACATCTCGCAGACAAGGTATAGTTTCTTGCGTAACAACTGCAAAGATCTTTGGTAACTTAAAACTTTGGAAAATATCTTCACTGCCAGTTTTGTAATTAACACCAAATAAATATTCAAAAATTGACATTTTTTCTTTAAAAAAGCAATAAATAATTATATTTTAAATAAATCGGATAATATTTTTATTTCTTATTTGACAATGCAGGGTATCTAGATCACTTAAAATTTTGAAATAATTTAATTCTAATTGGCCTTATTCATTGTACGTGGACAAAAACAATTCATAATTGTTAGATTACCTTTTCTCCTTTTAATTAAATCTTAAAATAATAAGCTACTACATAGAAAAGAAATCAAATCTTAATCCCTTAATCATAACAAATTAAAGAAAATTCATTATGGTCATCTTCCTACGCATCTTTCTGCAGAGGGTCGGCGTAGGCAATTAAATAAAATCATGAAAGTTCATAAAATCATTTTTTCAACGTTAAAAAAGTATTATTAAAACCCTTATCTTGATGCTCAAATATTATTTCTAAATTATTTATGACCTTTGTCTAAACAATACGCCTTGAATAAGTAGACTGCAGTAATTTGATCGATATTCAGACGGATGTACTGCAGAAGTTACGTCATGAATTGCTTTACACTTATATGCTATTACTTTTGTTATTTTTTACTATACTTTTAATGATTTAATAAAGCCATTTTTTTAGTTTTTTTATGTCTCTGTCTTTGTCTGTCTGTTTGCGTAAGTTTGCGGATAACTACAGGTTTATATTGTACCCTTCATCTAAATGTAAAAGGTGTTATCTATTGCAAGAAAATAATAATTACATACAGCTTATAAATAAATGAATAGAATATTACAGGTCATTCATCCTGAATGCGTATGTACCAAGTATAGTATAAATTCTTGTATGTGCTCGAAATTTCGAACGTTCCAATTCTCGATTAGTATCAGGTTTATTTTAGCCGCTCCTGGTTGCACGCCAAGGAGCATCGCTTCAATCTTTAGCCGACAGTCGAAGCGGATTCATGAGTTGGCGAATCTAATTTATTACGATGGACGCTAAACATTATGAGATTTTACGAAACGACAAATACGGTCGATATTTAGTTGCTAATAAGGACTTAGATGGCGGTGAATTAATATTCACGGATCAACCGTTCGCCGTTGGACCCAAAGCAGGCAAGTACACTCCATCCCCGTTGGTATAAACCATTAAAACATTTTGACGAATTAAAATCATAATTGATTTATTTCTTGTATAAAACGAAAAGGCACTCTAGCGCATTCTAGAAACCTTTATAATATTTTTTATTTAGGTAAACGGTATATGTACTGAAATATTTAAAAATAAAGTTCCACAATTCATTATAAGTCGTCTGCTTTGGATTCTAGTCGAAGTTCTTACAAACATCTCTCTATCGACGCATTAACCGTATGCAAAAACGTTTTTCACGCCCGCCATTGACGATCAAAACTTAATTCATCCAGTTAAATTTAAGATAATGCGTCCCTTAAGGTATACGTATATATCCCTTAGCCTTAGGGTAAATCTGTCAACAGATACGCCTCCATTGTGCCTCGCTTGCTACTGTCCTGTGGAGAATACATTATGCTCTCGGTGCGGCTGGCCGGTGTGCGGGGCGCAATGTGAACGCGATCCGCAACACGCCGCCGAGTGTGAAGTCTTTAGTTTGGCAAAGGTGCGCTTCCAGCCAGTGACTGACTGGACAGCTAGTGCCCCACAACTTGACTGCATCACACCATTGAGGTTAGTATAACAACTTATATATTGGCACTTCAGGTACAGGAGTACTCTGTTAAGCGACGTGTCAACTTATGTACAGTGTACCATTGTACAATTTCATAGAAATAACATATAATCTGTTATATTATAAAGATTTGTAATGTCATGTTTGACCAGATTACTATTAGCAAAAGAGAAGGATCCACAGCGATGGCAGCAAGAATTGGAGTTGATGGAGGTGCACTCGGAGGCGCGACAGCAGCGGCCCACGTGGCGGTTGGATCAGGTTAACATCGTGGACTTCTTAGTCGATCACTGTAAGCTCGGGGACCGCATCAACATGGAATTGGTGCAGAAAGCTTGCGGTATACTCGAGGTGCGTAGTAATTTTAAAAATAAGCAACTACTAGCATTGAAAATGTATTCCTCGAACACAAATATAAAACAATTACACTTCTTGGTTTCTTCTTAGTACCATATCTATTTTGAGTGTAATTGTGATTTTCATTATGTAGGTAAACGCAGTGGAAATACCTTCCCGAGGTGGGTTCAGTATACGCGCGGTGTACCCGCGTCTAGCCATCGCTGCGCACAGCTGCGTACCAAACATCGTGCATACTATCCTACAGGATAATTACAAGTATGTACTTGCATACTCTTGACTCGTGTTATTGATTCTTGTGTTAACAAACCAAACCAACAACTCAGTTAACCAAACTTTTTTTCTAGTCATACTATTGACATTTACATTTCATTTTAACTTTTATAATATTATGTCATATAAACGAAATGTCTGAACGAATTTAACAAAATATGAGCAATGGAAAGCTGCCAATATTCTGACGGGTCCGGTTTGTCTTTTGTTTTAATTATCTAATTTTAACCCGACCCGTTAACTAGTAAAACACATCTCTCTGGGAATATTAAAAACAAAAAACGATTTCTACTCAAAAGTCAGGCATCGAATCTCAATTTCAGGCAAGTCTGCGAGTTTCAAATAATAAGGTATAAATTGTAATAGAGCGATTGGAAAAAAGATAAAGTCAACAGTAAAGGGCTTATGACCGAGAAGTTACCATGCAACATGTAAAGTTGTGTGTCGTCTTGAACGTAACTTTAATGACGTGTAATTATGGGGTAGTAATTATGTATATTTTTTGCAGGGTGGAAATACGAGCTGCAATACCTATAAAGAAGGGTGAACCACTACATCTATGTTACACGCACGCCCTGTCGCCCACTATCGTGCGACGAGAATATCTGCTAGAGTCCAAGTTCTTCAACTGTGACTGCCCGCGTTGTTCCGACCCTACAGAGTTAGGAACACATCTCAGTACTGTTAAATGTAACAAATGTGATAATGGTGTTATTTTATCAACGAATCCTTTAGGTGAGAAATAGCTAGTAACACCGAAAGTTAAATCTCGTCTATGTGTCCGTTCACATTGATTAATATTTATGTATTAAGCAATCTTACCCACTAAGAAATTATTTTTAACACTATAAAGCCCTGTCACATTAGAAAAACATTAAGATTTTTAAAATACATGTTGAGTTCGATACTTTAAAACAAATATAAGACTGTATACATGGCCAATTTTTTTCAGACAATGATGCACAGTGGATTTGCACAGAGAAGTCATGTGGCTTCAAGACGTCTGGTGGTGCGATGCGTAAAATGTTAGCAGTTGTGCAGGCCGAGGTCGATCAGCTAGACGCCTTGGAGCCCGGACCACAGGCTATCGAACAGAGAGAGGCTATCCTTAATAAAGTAAGGCAAAAGTTAATATTTGAATGCACATTTGGAGAGGATTCACTGCTATAGCTGTGTAAAGCTATATCTCTGTCGCACAAACTGTCATATGAGATAGAGACAACAATTTACGAAATTAGCGGTTTGTCTTCTTGTAAAAACGATATATATTATTCATGGTAAAACGTTTTATTATAATAGATTCTGAAAGCCTTCGTTCGATTGAATAAACAGCATAAATATACATAGTAATAAAGACTGTTAATTTTTTTTCCAGTACAAATCGGTATTCCACCCGCGTCATTCGATCCTCATATCCATCAAGTACGCGCTGGCGCAGCTGTATGGACGTGTTGCAGGCTACGACATAGACGAACTACCAGATCTCATGTTGGAGCGCAAGGCTGACTTCTGTAGACTGGTGCTTAAAGCGCTGGACGTTATTATGCCCGGAGACAGTCGGATGAGAGGTAACGAGTTTTTTTGTTACAAATTACAATGTAGAAGTGAGCACAAGTTTATCTATTTTCGAATCCTAAAATGTACAACGAATTAAAAAAAATGTATCCAAATGCATTTAAAAACGCCTAAATTATATATAAATGCATAAAAAATAATTATATTTCATATTTTTTATGCATTTATATATATTTTTGTTTTTTCTTTAACAGGTATGATGTTATATGAACTGCATGCACCACTGATGTATCTGGCAAGGAATGAATACAGCATTGGACTTATAACAAAGGAGAAATTGAAAGATAGATTGCAAGAACCTATACAATGTCTCGCTGATGCTGCTAGGATCCTTAGTCGAGAAGACCCGCAGAGTCCTGAAGGAATAACTGGACAAATTGCTGGCCAGTGCTTAGAACAATTAAAAGCAAGTCTTGAAGCAATATAAATTGAAAAAACTTATAAATATTAAATTTCAAAAGACATTTTATAAGCGAAATATGTTTGTGTTAAATATTTATTTTAAAACATTAAATAATTAAAATTTAATTTTCTTGGGTTTTTTCATTTTACCCTCTGTAATATTGTTTTCATTTTTCTGACCTATATCTTCTAGGTTATCAGTTGCACCTAATGTATTCAGTTTTATTGAAGTTTCCTCTTTTTTGTCATTCATCTGAAAGTTTAGAAAATTTAATATTATTATTTTGACATCATTGAGTGTCATAAAGGAAAACAAAAAACGTTTACCATGAATGTAATACATTAATATGATACAAATTTCACTGCCATCATATTAAACACAAATTATTATAGTTAAATTACATTTTAAGATGTTTAAATGAAGATTATTACTTACAGTAGGACAATCCTTCTTCAAGTGAGTGACATCACCACAAAGTTTACAGCAACCACCATTGGGGTACAATCCTTTGGGATTATCAGGACATTGCCGAGCAATGTGACCCTGAAAGGTATTAAACAAAACAAATAAATATAATTTATATCAGCATTTTTCACTATAATCCAGTAAACCAAACATTCCAATAGTCAATAGGCAATTCGTTGCTTGTTTGCCACTTCTACTATAAGAAAAAATAAATCCAACACCCTCCAGTTTTTTACAGTGCCTCATTAGTGAAATTATACTGCATACATATTTCCTAGTTGATAGATAGCATATATATTCATCCAAAATGTTTTATCCATGCTGCCCTTTAAAGATACTTATTAACAAACATCCATCCATCAAAATATATGAATTTATATTAACAGTAAGATATGTCAATGTTCAAATTTAGATTTAATTGAAATTATTTATTGGTTTCACTATCAAAAATGCAGGAAAAAAAAGATAAAAATTGGTTACTTACAGCTTCTTTACATATGAAACATGTAGCAAATCGGAACTCTTTATCTCTCTGCACTTTACATTCAAACTGTCTATGTTCAGTGGAGCCACATTTGAAGCAAACTCCTTCAGCACTATCCACCCCTGGTATTTTAGACTTTAGTTCCGGACAATCAGAAAGATTATGACCACCTTTCCTACAATTATAGCAAACCTCACGTTTTATTCGCGCTAAAGCTTTCTCAGCTCGCCTCCTTTCCAATTTCATTGTCCTTTGTACTTCACTTTTTGGTATACCTTTCTTAATCATACTATTTTTTAATTCTGTAAGTCGTTCAGCATCCTTCTTCATAATAGGGAATCCATCAAACCTGATTAGTTCAATTTCTTTACCATTTACTATTAATTGAAAGCTTCTGTCATTTATGTCTTTCCTACGAGTAGGTTTTTCATTTCTATTTTTCTTCTTCTTAGGATTTGTATTGTTGTTTTTATTTTTGTTACCTTCAGATCCTTGGACAGCATCATTTTTATTATTTTGGTGCTCCTGGTTTTCATCGGCTATTATATCTTTGTTTTGAGATTGTTGTGACTTTTTCTTCTTTTTTTTCTTGTTTGATGAATCACCATTTTGTAATTGTACAGTGTTATTTACTTCAACTTTTTCAACTGAATCGTCAGCATGCTTTTTGTCTTCATTACTAAAGTCTTTAACTGGTACCTTATTTTTCTTCTTCTTTTTGTTTTGTTTTACTGAAACATTGGTTTGTTTGGTGTCGTCGGTTTGTTTTTGAACCTCATTAGTCGACTGGATCTGTGTTGCTTCAAGCGTCTTTTCTTTTTTCTTATTTTTCTTTTTAAAACATTTTTCGTTTTGTTGACTTTCGTTGGCATTCTCTGGCTTTTTTTTGAACTCTACTTCAGGAAAGTCACACCAAGTAGCTTTTCGCTTTTGTACTTTCTGTTCTTTAAGGAAATTCGAATAGTTATCTATTCGCTTTTGTTCAGCCTGTAATAATAAACATAACATTTTAGGTTAGTTGGTCACAAACTTAAACGTAACTCTCGCGGCTTGCGTTAATATAACCTGACTTACCTCTCTTCTCTGTTTAGATTCTTCAGATTCTTTTTTCGATTGAATAATCTGCTCCTTCATAACTTCCCATGGCGTACTATCTTCTGGGGTCTTTTCATTTGAAGACTTAGAGCCTCTCGCTCTTGCAAATCTTGTCATAGTTGACTGAATGTTGTTTTACCGCCTTTTAATACGAATCAAAAATTATTTATTACAACACGTGTTTCTCTTCAGCGTCATTTTATTCACTTCATTTGTCAAAGGCAAAATCAACAAATCAATTATTTATGTCAGTGTCAATGTCTTGTTAGTGTTACAACTTTAAAAAATTTCGTTCGTAGAATCTGGTAAAAATCCATTTTTTTTTAAGTTTTTTACTGATAATTTTGTACTCAAGAGTCGTTCCGCAGTTATTTTGGTTGAAAAGTAATACTGACCAGTTAATAATTCATTAGCTGTAATTTTACTTGGGAATACGTAAATGTCCCAGTTATTCTAGGAACAGGTTAGCATTTGCAATGACGGTTTCACAGAAAATTCATTAATTAAAACGGTGTAGACTTTACAATCTGTAGATCACAGTATGTTTTGATTGGGCAGGTTAACATACTGTATTTAAATAACATGTTTTAAGTTCTGTCTTTTACGACACACACTCACAATAGTTGCTTTCATAGAAGAAAAATATGCTTCTTGTTAATAGTTTTAGTAGAAAATTACAGTTTAATGTTTCAATAATTTAAAGGCAAATTCATGTTCGCATGCCAAAAAAAACTATTAGGTACACATTTACATCTAAAATATGAACAAATTTTATTTTGGTTTCTTTTTATTGGAACTTAAAGTAGCTTCTATTAATTGCACCCAATTTTCATATTGTTTATTGTCTTCTTCATCTAATTCATCACAAAACTTATCGATATCTTCATCTTTCACATCTTCTTCTTTCAATATATCATCGTTATATTCTTTTGTTTTCTTGGAGAGTTTACTTTTCTTGGTTTTATTATTGGAGGATACTGACACTTCCTGTGGTTCATCGCCAACAAATATGATCTTTTTTGGTGTTGCATTATTACTTATCGTTCCAAAATTATTGATAGACTGTACAACACTTTCACTACCATCATTTACTTTTTCTAAATTGTCTTTCGAAAGTCCATCCTTATTTTTTTTGTCCTTTCTTTTTTTGGTACTACGAACCTGTACATCAATTTCACTGTCTTGGTTTTCAACAATGTCTTCTGCGATTTCGCCTTTAATTTTTTTATCCCTTCTTTTCTTCTTTTTGTTAGTTTGAACATGAGTTTCACGATCTTCGTTCACATTTTCAACAGCATCATCCGCAATTTTCGCTTTAATTTTTTTCTCCTTTCTTTTTTTATTAATGTTAGACTGAACATCAGTACCAATATTTTTCATTTCCGTTATTTCATTTTGCATAATATCATCCGCGATTACTTCTTTAATTTTTTTGCTATTTTCTCTTTTATTTGCATCAATACTGTCCGTGCTATCTGGATTTTTTCTTTTTTTACCCATTGTCTGAAATCAAATCGATTTTTTAATAAAATATATAAATAGAAATAAATGTTCTAAAAATAAAAACATTTAAATAAAATATGGAATTAAAATTTGTCTATTGAGCTTGCTTTTGTGTTTCGCAGTTAACGTGATTTTTTGTTTCGACGTTATATTCTTATGTTTTATTGTTCGTCGAATATGCGTTCGTCTGATAACAGTAAAACTTAAACCACAATTTATTTTGTTTTAATACTCCACGAATACACCTAGAGCAATTCACGAAACGCTAGCGCCGTATGCTTATAATAAATTTATTTTATTGACTTAACATACACACGTAGCCGAGAATACTTAGAGGAGAAATTGAGAAACAAAATAAATATCGATTTGCGTCTATCTGGTTCAAAACTAGAGCTGCTGCTAGCCAAAAAATCTAAATTTATAATAATAGCACAAAAAGATACAAGAATCGCTCCACTTCGTGCAAAAAAACGGATTATTTTCATCCTACTTTTACGGTACAGTAGCGTTTTGAGGTCGATTATGACAAATATTGTGAGTCAAATTTAAGTAACTGCGCCAGCGGCTTTAAGATTTATTCATGACAACTAAAAAGTCACAAAAATGCTTTACTATATATTTTGTTATAAATAAACATGAAACGTGACCACGAGTCATAGAGCGGTGTATCCTCAATGACTATGTTGACAAACGCCTACAGTATCACGTGCGAATGCAGCACGCGATACGATAACTCATCATCTCTCAGTAAATCATTTTGACATACTTTTGAAGTTAATTTAGCTCAGTAACATCCCGCACTGAGAGTTAAGATTCGGGTTGAGATATTGTAATAAACAGCGCGACAAACTCGGAACAATGTTCGGTATTAAATCATGGGTTTTTCCTGCCTAGTAAAAACATATTATTTTCTCTTTCATTACTTCTGAAAAACCTGAGGCAACGATATGTTTTCGTATAGAAGTTCCTGCAGTGGAAACAACTTTTACGAAAACATTACTTGACACTTAACACATCTTGTTCTATTCATGGTCATGTTTTTATTTTAAAGTTGTAAAATTGCTATTATGTGTAATGTAATGTGTAAATAATAAAACGAAATATGTTCAATTCAAATTATTAAGAAATGTCTACTCTAATTTAAAATTAAAGTGGACATACATTATGTTCAAAAATAAATGTTCTTGGTAATTCAATTTTTGTTTTATGCCAGTGATTTATTGTTCAGGTGAAGCCAACATTAATAATGTATTGAACGAACTGATGCACACAAAAAACATCAATTATAATAACAGAACATAACCTACAAATTCTTGGCACTTCTTTTATTCATTGGAGCGTAGATAATGCTGATTACAATGGAATTACATTCGATAAAGTATGTAATACATAATCTTGATATCTTCAACTAAACTTTAGATAAAAGACATAAAAATCAACAGTGTACCTTCACATATAAAAACCTATTCAATATGATTAGCAAAATATGTGCACCTCTTCCGTGCATCCTATCAGCTGTACTAGATCATAACAAATAACTTTTAATTGCATTTACTGCATTGCACGACAAAGTGATAAAGCGGCAAAATACACTATATAACTATAAAGATAAGAATGATATTTAAGTGCCGTATTCCATTATACAAATAAGCATAAATATAGCTCACAATCCTTGCGGGAGGGCAAAGCTACAAAGTTAAAAGGATATGGACTGTGGCGACAAAATAAAGTGACAGGCAAGCTCACATCAGTGACAAGGCATCCTAACGGTAAACAATAATATACAATGATTTTGTGTATATTCCAAAATTAGTAACTATTACAAATAATTTCTGTCAAGATTTCAATTTATGATGAAAGTAAGCGTAAAATTTCTTCATTATATCTGTTTTGGTCAGTCCGAGTACAAAAATAAATGAAAAGAGTGATATTGTATTGAAAGCGTCATTAGTAATAAGCAAGTGTTGAAAAATATAGAATAAATTATTTAACCGAAAATTGGTAGAAGAACGTGTACCTATTTTTGAAACAGCACTTACATCAAAAAGTCATTATTTATCAATAGTCAATATGAATAACACTTGATGGATACACAATTTATGTGTCTGTTATATAGACGAATGAAGCACAATTTCCCACAAGATAGATAGGTCTGGTCGACCTTACTACAATGAATCTCTGGATACATCTCGTCCATCTTTTGTATTTTACGGTGAAAGATTACCTCGTTTCATAAATTTCGATAATAAATATGCACCGTTTAAGCGAAAACTATAATAACCCTTATCAAGATACTTTATCAGAATTAATTTATTGCTTTTAATTAAACGGTGGGCTGAAGCACAGAAGTGGGCGATAATAAAATCAGCCACTCCGTGATCCATGTCATATACACAGACTTTACATAACGTGAGGCGTCGCGTAGCTGCGCGGGCACGGGAGACGCGCCATTCGGTCCCAGACCCAGTACGAAACGGACGTGTCGCCAACCGTTCTACATTTAGTTCTCGCGATCAAGCTTATCGCAAAAAAATACGGCATTGCGACGCCTCATCGTTTCACGAAAGTTTTCAAAATAAACAATTCAATATGTCAGATAAAAAATATGTTCTTGGCATGGATATTGGCACGACATCAGTGAAAGTGTGCGTCTACGATCCAAAAACAAGAGAAATAGTAGCGAAACAGAGTAAGGACACCGCAGCTAATATACCTAGTGATCAAGGCATAGAAGGGAACAAGCAGGATGTTCCTAAAATAGTGTCGGCCGTCCATTACTGCGTGTCCCGGCTACCGAGAGATGTTCTACGACATGTCACGAGAATTGGCGTCTGCGGTCAGATGCACGGAGTCCTCTTGTGGAATAACGGGTAAAACATATCAAATATGATGTTATCCTACTCCCTAATGGTGTATTTGTTAAAAGCAGATATTCCCATTAAAAACTACATTTCACAACATATGAATATTTCTACAATACAATACAAAGTTGTAATCTCTTACATAAATGTTATTTAATTATATGTGTTACAGTAAATTGTACTTTTTAATCTAAATGCAAAAAAAATTATTATAGCTCAGTAGCAAAGTAACTTGCATTCTGTAACTGGAGGTTCAGTTTCCAAGTAGCCTGTATTCCATATTTTTTTATAATTTATATTTTTATTTACTTTTCAGTGCCTGGGAAAAGGTAGAAAAAGATGGAATTGTAATGCGTTATGAAGCTACAAGAGAAAAAATGTCCGCACTGTATACATGGCAAGATACAAGATGCAAACCAGAGTTTCTGGAATCGTTGCCAAAGCCTGATTCACACTTAAACTGTTGCTCTGGATATGGCTGTGCAACATTATTATGGATGCTCCATAATAAACCGGAAAAATTAAAGAGTTTTACCTATTCATCTACAGTTCAGGATTTTGTAGTAGCCATGCTCTGTGATTTAAAAAATCCAGTCATGTCAGATCAGAATGCTGCCAGTTGGGGTTACTTCAACACGGAAAAAAATGAATGGAATCATGATATCCTTAATTCAATTAACTTTCCCACTAACCTCTTGCCTAAAGTTGTTAAAAGTGGAGTAATTGCAGGAGTACTGAGTGAATCCTGGAATGGTATCCCAGAGGGAACTCCAGTTGGTGCTGCTCTAGGAGATTTACAATGTTCAATAATTGCAACATTAGAAAACAGAGAAGATGCAGTTTTGAATATATCAACTTCAGCTCAACTTGCTTTTGTTGTTAACAGTATTCAAGATGTTGGATGTAAAACTGTTGAGCACTTACCATATTTCAACAACACTTATTTGCTAGTAGCCGCATCATTAAATGGTGGAAATGTACTGGCCACATTTGTAAAAATGCTTCAACAATGGATGCTCGAATTTGGATTTCCTATTCCACAATCAAAAGTTTGGGAAAAACTTATTGCACTTGGCTTAGAAGCTCCAACAACATCTGCTATGAAAATTTGCCCACATTTACTGGGAGAAAGACATGCACCTGCATCTAAAGCTGCTGTTGAAAACATTGATCTTTCTAATATTCAATTAGGTTGTGTTTTTAAATCTCTATGTGACAGTATAATAGACAATTTACATATAATGATGCCAAAAAGAATATTACAAAATGCACACATTAAAAGGATTGTCGGCAATGGCTCTGGATTGTCTAGGAATGCTGTATTACAAAGAGCTGTAGAACATTTCTATAGTCTGCCGTTAGAATTTACATCAGGAGGTGATGCTGCCAAAGGTGCAGCTATTGCTGTCTTGGAATAAATTATCATCAACATCATCAGCTCACTATATGTCCCCACTGCCCTCAGCCCCTGCTTGAAGCCAACCCTAAACTAAGGGTGATTAAATTATGTTTGTTCCTAATTATATAAAATGAAAAAAAAATTCTCAACAACTCAACATTTAGCTTAATCGTATAAAGGACCACATATAAAATTTTGTTAATAATTTTTGTATATAATTATTATATTAAGATTTCCATTTAAAAATATAAGCAAAGTCTCACATTGTTGTTGTATTTTGTACCCTTTCATTTGTGCACAATAATTGCATGAAATTATTTAGAAAAATCTGACCTGATAAAATGAGAATGGGTTAAAGATATTGTTTCCATTTCTACCTCACCTTAATATGGCTAATACATGGTATGAAATCACGCCTGCAGCCACGTATACAAATCAGTTACCTAGACCAATGTTTCTTCTTTCTTTCTTATACAACTTATTGATTTAAAGATATTTCATTTATAAATATCAATTAACTGTTTAATGTAACAAAATAACCTAAAATGTACTAGCAAATCGCAAATAGGCATGTACTTCATCTGCATTATTCAACACTGCACTATATTTTATAAATGTTACTTAAAATTTTAGAATTGTTTTACCTTTTCGGAGTCAATTAATAAAATTTTCACTTCGCGAAAACAATTTTTGACAAAGAGTATATAAAATAAGAGACGGGACTCTTGACTATTTAGATACACAAACGGAGAATAAAAATTGACATTTTCAATGCTAGCAATATTATGAACAAGTCTACGTTGCTACCAACCTAAAAAAAATCAATCTGTCAGTTTCCTTTTTGACATTTGAAAGTGTTATTCGAGGGAAAACAATTTTGGAAAAATAAAACAATTTCGTTAATTGCAACTTTATTTAATCTTCTGACTAAAGCGAACATATTTTAAGAACGCAACATATTGCTTTCGTAATAATACCATTATTGTTTAGTTCACCAACAAAATACCCCAACTTTGATAAATGCTTATTTGTTCCAGTTTGTTTATTTGATAGATCATATTTTCTGATGGAACTGGAGTAGTAGTGCCTCTCTCGTCGGGAGAAATAGAATAACACTGGAAAGAGATTAGCTCCTATCTGTTGGTAAAATGTGGCGCAAAAGCCTGGGAGCTAAATCTCGAACTGGGATTGGCTCCCGCGTTTTCTCGCCAGATAGACAGGGCGCGAACACGATACGTCGCATACAAAAATACTGAGAGTGAATTAATTGTAATACCGTGCTCCTTTAATTTAATATATTTCGTGCGTAGCAAAATATGCGTTTTATTATTGTTATTGACATTTACGTTCATGGGTATATCTTAAACCTAACTAAGAAAACCCATATTGGTGACACCGAGAAACTTTAAGAGTGCGTGAAAATTTTACTGTGACGATTCGTCAGCTGAATGTATGTCGCCCCACTGGTGGTCGAGGCCTGCTAGAAGCACCTTTGACCGTTTCTGCTGGTGACCAGCGAGCTCCGTGCCGTCTGCCTGCTGCCCGTCTGTTTCCCGCCAACAGCCTGCCCTTGTCGTCACGGGTGCCCTGCAATTGCATCAACGCCTGCGCCGCCGGTTCCTACAGCTAAGCCCAAAAATACTTTCCTTCGCAAACTTTCCATTCTTACAAAACAATGTGTGTGTTGTGTTGTTTACAGAAACAAATAAACGTATAACGTAATCGTATCACACTTTTCACAGTAATGTGTTATATAAAAAATTAAAAACAAAGTTTATCATTAGTATATTCAAAAATACTAATAATACTAGCAGTGAAAATATTTTAGTAGTTTTTATGTTATGTATAAAACATTTGTGTTTATTTAAAAAGAGTACCTATGTGTTCTCACTTGTAACTCACTTTTGATTTTAATAACCTATTCTTCCATAGTACGGATTACTATTTGTTCTCACTAGTAATTCACGTGTGTTAAATGTATGTTACTATAAGTTCTAATTGTGACCATTTTTTTTTGTGCTATTAATTTAAATTATCTTTTCATTGATTTAATTTTAATTCACTTTATTGTTTTGATTTAATTGAATAATAATTTATTTTGTTCACAATGTCAAAAGAGGAGGAATTACAGAGACAGATTTTAGATTTACAAAAACAAATAGCTAAATTAACGAATCCAGACGCGCAGGTTATGGGGGTGTCAGTTAAATTATCCGAATTTTGGTGTGACAACCCAAGAATATGGTTCACACAAGCGGAGGCACAATTCGAAATAGCGGGTATTACACAAGATTCAACTAAATATGGGCATGTACTTTCAAAATTTGATGCTCATCTTGCTGACGAGATGGAGGACATTTTATCAAATCCACCAACCAAGGACAAATATCAGCATTTAAAAGCAGAACTCATTAAGCGTTTTTCCACGTCGAAAAAGCAGCGTACTCGACAGTTGTTGAGCGAAGAACAGCGAGGGGATCGAAAGCCGACTGCTTTCCTTCGCCACCTGCGAAACTTGGCTGGTCCCAAGGGCGATGAGGACATAATACGCGAGCTATGGATCCGCCACCTGCCAGGTGAGATTCAAAGAATTTTAATAGCACAAGAAGACTTACCTTTAGAGAAATTAGCCGAAATTGCCGACAATATCATGGACACATTACCTCACACTCCAGCCGCAATCAATGAAGCGAGAGCATTATCTTCACTAAATTTGGAAACGCTTATGCACCGCATCGATGAGTTAAGTAGGAAGGTTGATGCACTCACTAGAAACAACACACGAATACCTCGTTCTGCCTCGCGCTCGAAGTCAAGGTCAATGTCATCATCTCGTTCTGGCACGCGTTTGTGCTGGTATCACAAGAAGTTTGCTGGTAAGGCTAGCAAATGCGTTAGCCCATGTTCCTGGTTATCTGATAACAAGGAAAACTTCAGAAGCAGTCAGTAGAGGCGACTACTGACTGTTACAATACTGGTCGCCGTCTATTTATTACTGATCCTGGAACAGGCCATAGGTTTTTGATCGACACCGGTTCCGATCTCTGTTGTTTCCCACGTAGTTTTCTTAAGGGCAAATATAGCCATTCTAATTTTGAACTTCGAGCTGCGAATGGAAGCACTATTAAAACGTACGGCCACATTACCCTAACACTTAGCCTAGGCTTGCGCCGTGATTTTAGATGGAATTTTATCATAGCATATGTCGGAGCTGCAATAATTGGTTCTGATTTCTTGGCGCATTACCACTTGTTACCGGACTGCCGCAATTTGTGTTTGATTGACGGCACCACAAAACTACGTGCAACGGCTACGGCAGCTCAGGTGAACCAGCTCAGCGTCAAAACCATTTTGGCTGGCGATTCCCGATGGGACAAAATTCTCAACGAATTCGTCGATATAACGAAGCCACCAGGAATTAACAGAACTATTAAACATGAGACCAAACATTTTATTTCTACTACCGACGGCCCACCTGTTTCATGTCGTCCTCGCCGTTTAGCCCCTCAGAAATTGTCTGCGACAAAGAAAGAGTTCGAGGACATGGTCAAATGCGGCTCTGCTCGGCAATCGAGTAGTTCTTGGTCTTCGCCTCTGCACATGGCTCGTAAGCGTGAAAATGGCTGGCTTCCTTGTGGCGATTATCGTGCGCTTAATGCCAGGACAATCCCTGACTGCTATCCGGTGCGCCACACCGCAGATTGCACTTACAATCTTGCCGGGTGCACAATATTTAATGTAGTCGACTTAGTGAAGGCCTACCAACAAATTCCAGTACACGAAGCAGACATCTGCAAAACAGCTATTACTACACCTTTTGGTCTCTACGAATTTCCTTACATGACGTTCGGCCTCCGAAATGCAGGACAAACGTTCCAGCGGTTTATAGACGAGGTGGTCACAGGCCTGGATTTCTGTTATCCTTATGTCGACGACATTTTCTCACTCTGCCGACGAGCACGCCGACTACCTGCGTATGCTTTTTCAGCGGTTATCTAAGTATGGTGTAGTTATCAATTCATCTAAATGCATATTTGGCGCCGAAGAGGTTACCTTCTTAGGATATCAGATTACCAAAAATGGTACACGGCCACCTCCGGAGAGATTATCAGCACTGCGAGAGTTCCCTTTGCCCAAAACTATTGAAGGTCTACGCAGATTTTTGGGCATGGTAAATTTTTATCGTCGTTTTCTCCCAAACGCAGCAGAACTGCAGGCTCCTTTGCACGATGTCCTCGCTACATCGCAACTGAAAGGACCTAAACCGGTACCTTGGACGCCAGAACGCGAACTTGCATTTCAGCGATGTAAGGATCATCTGGCTGAAGCAACTACTCTAGCTCATCCTGTTCCCAACGCAAAACTCGGTCTGTTTACGGATGCTTCGTCAACCCATGTGGGTGCCTGTTTACAGCAGCTTACCGACCAGCATTGGCAGCCCATAGCCTTTTTCAGCAAAAAGCTAACGTCTCGGCAAGCCATTTTCCCGGCATATTACAGGGAATTATTAGCAGTCTACGAAGCTGTTCAGCATTTTAGGCACATACTTGAAGTTCAAAACGTCACCATATATACAGACCACAAACCACTCATCTATGCATTTACTCAGCGACGCGAAAAACTGCCTCCAGTACAACTGAATCAATTTTCATTCATATCACAATTCACAACAGATATCGTGCACGTCCAAGGCAAAGATAATGTCGTGGCTGTTGCGATGTCTCGTGTGGAGGCTATCCGCATTAAAGAAGATTATGTAACACTGGCCAGAGACCAAGCCACGGATCAGGAGCTACAAAAGTTAAAAGCCGACTCTTCCTTAAAACTAGAAAAGATAACGATACCGGGTACTGATGTCGCCATATTCTGTGACCTTACTACTGGAAAACCGCGACCTTATATACCCCGTTCATTTCGTCGTGCAATTTTTGAGAAGCTTCACAACCTCAGCCATCCAGGCTCACGAGCGTCTGCTAAATTGGTGTCTGAACGTTTTGTGTGGCCCGGCATTCAAAAAGATTGTCGTGAATGGGCACGTTCATGCAATGCCTGCCAAAGAAGCAAAGTCACTCGACACACAAAAACACCCTTAGGCGATTTCAGCTGTCCGACGAGGGGTTTTCGCCATGTCCATCTAGATATTATTGGTCCTCTTCCACATAGCAAAGGTTTTCAGTATTGCCTTACAGCTGTAGATAGGTTCACAAGATGGCCAGAGGCATGGCCCATGGTAGGTATAACGGCGGAAGAAGTTGTTGAGACATTTTTCAGGGAGTGGGTAGCCCGTTTCGGTGTACCGTCTCTCGTGACAACAGACCAGGGCCGTCAATTTGAGGCCACATCTTTCCAAGCCCTCATGAAACTTTGTTCTGCTAAACGCATTCGCACGACAAGTTATCATCCATGCGCAAATGGTATGGTAGAAAGGATGCATCGACAGCTTAAGGCTGCCCTGATGTGCCATCAAGAAACTTGGCATAAAGCTTTACCAGTCGTGCTCCTTGGCATGCGGTCAGCCGTGAAGGAGGATTTACAGAATTCGTCCGCTGTCCTAGTATACGGGGAACCCTTGTGTCTGCCCGGCGAGTTTATTGTCGCCCCGCCACCTTCAAATAGTGCAGAAGACGCTACAAATATAGCGACCCAACTTAGTCGTTACATGGCTCGATTACGTCCGATG